GCTAGTGCTACTGCTACGACGACGACGACGACGACTACTACTACTACTATCACGACGACGACGGCGTCGCAACCAATAATAACAATAGTATGTGTATGTATACATATACAATTTAGACACACACGTACATAACATACATCCATGTACATACATCCATGTACACTAAATGTGTATATGTCATGCCAACACTTCCAGAGATGCATACATTGCTTTTGTCCCTGGTAGCTCCGATGCAGCTTGCATTTGACTAGTCTGCAAAATCTTGTAGCCAGTGTGCCGTTATACCATACCTCTTGCGACGCTCCTTGTTCCAGCTTCGCGAGCTGAAAGTCGGAAAGAACATTGCGTCTACAAGAATCGGTCATCCCCGGACGTCGAGCCGCATACTGTTGGACAGGCTTTGGCTGATTCGGTTCTTTCCAGCTGGACATCATTGCTAGGATCGTCTTACTGAGTCCAGTCTTTGCAGTGCTGAGGATGTTTTCCAGCGCACACTTGCCCGCATCGACCAATGCGCCACATGGCCGATTGGACGAACTCCAACGGACTGCTGGATGCCACTCCTGTCGGGGGCGCACGCTTTGCACATGCTTCTTCACCGGGTGAGCTCATTGCTGCTCAACGGTTTGGTGAAGTAATTCGCTGCATGCTGACTGCGACCTCGAGTGGAGTCCCCGAGCTCCTGAGAGGAGTGGTTGGAGGGCTGGTTCATGAAGACTCCGATATCGCGAATCAAGCGCGGCAATGCCGAAGAGTTCCTGGGCTGCCTGGGCTGTTGCGCATGGCACAAAGGGCATCAAAGCAAGCCCTGTTTGTCACATCGCCTGGCAGAGGGTGAACTTGGGGTTTTGTATCGTCTTGCCAAGAGGTTCTTCGCCTGGGCATTCTTCAACAAGTATCCTTCAGAGCTCAAGGAAGAGGAAATGAGTGAGATGAAAGCCATGCTGCAGGACCTAGGGCAAGTTGAAGTTGTGCGCTCGTGTTTGTGATTGTGCATGGCAGTGCTGATGGAAAGCAGTCCATTCCAATCTGAAGAAGCCTTTTTGCGCTGCGCTTGCCTGCCCCTACAACAACTGTTCGGAATCCAGTTCGACACGACATCAGCATCGCAAGGGATAGCAAGGGCAAACACTTTGCGGATGGTTCTCCCTGCACTCATTAGTATTTATCTTCGGTGCCCTCCTGCGAAACTGCTCTTGAGGGAAGTCTCTTGGTTCCCTTATCAGCGTAGGCCCAAAAAAATCTCTGACAGCTGTCCATTGGCTACCGGCAGCCTTTCTTCAGGGATAAGGATGCCCGTGACAGCAGCATATAAGGTTCAAGAAGCACACGTTGACTGCGGAAGCCTGTTTCCGCCAACAAGTGTGAGGAGTGCGAGCGCCGATATGGATGGGAATTAGCAGGAGGCACATTTTGGTGACAGAAGATGGTTTCTCAGTGGCTCAGCATACGGCACTGGTGTTGCATGAGGCTATTCTACAGGCGTCCGGCCGATGCGCATCAATTTCGACAGGATCCAGGCTTCTGACGGTAAGTACGTAAAGACATTGCAGTGAGTTCCAGATAAGACACACGGGAAGCGTTCCAGCATAGGTGCTGGTTGCTGCTGGCGAGTTTGGGTAATTTCGGTTCACACGGATGGTGGGACGGCCGCGGCGCACCTGTGCAGGCCTGGTATCATCCTTTGTGGTACTACGCCGCTTGGGGTGCAGTCTGTCAAGCTTGCCCACGCCGTCATGGTAACAGTGGGAGAAAGGGCACGTTTCAATTTGACTCGGCTTGATCTCAGAATGCTTGTTGCCGATGCTGCGAGCAGGGACAGACATGCAAGAATCGACGACTTGAGGCTGGTATTCTCGGGCTTCGGCTAGCTACCCGCTCCACCATGCAATTGCCCCTAGGAAGCATATTTTCTGGTTGAGAGGAAATTTGTTTAGCATGTCGTCGCGATGCAAGGCCCGACAAAGCCAGCTGCAAAATCTTATGATTGCAGGCTTCTTTGCTCACAGGTGCGGCTGAAGGCAGGGGTTATTTCCTTGTAACGGCACCTGGGGCGAAGTACGTAGGCAATGTATAGGCATGTCTCTGTACCCCTTACCACATGACTGTTGTGTGCCTCGCGGCATCCGCAAACGACCCTCAGCTACAAAGCCACACGATAAGCAGATCAATGCACTTATGAATGAACCGGGTGCATTCACGCATCATGCTGAGACGACTGCTTACGGTACACATGTTGAGGCCATAATCAATGTCCTGGTACGGGCCATCTGTAGCAACTGCTGCACTAACACGCTCAGGATGGGCTTTACCTACCATGGTGGTGAAGCATCAGGCCCCAACGCGGTTCGTTAGCAAATGGCTTTCGTGCTATTCAACTCCTGCGTGGTTCAGGTGGTCTTTCTTACTTCCACTGCCCTCCTCCAGCTCGTCCCGGGTACCTTGGTGTTTTGTGGATGTCATTCTGGAAAGGGCTGCATGAAGCTCGGGCCTGGTCGCCGAGAGACTGCGTTTAGACGGCTTACTTGGCCAAGGCAACTCCTGGATGCTGGGAAGGTGGTGGAGCCGAGCCGGGCCCTGCCGGTGCTTTGGCACATCAGCTCTTGGGAAGATCTCGCACTGTAGAGGATCGTGAGAGGTTTCGTCCCTGTGAGCACATCTTTGTTCCAAGAAATGTCAACCGTCGTTTACATTTTGGAGCTTGTGGTTGCGTTGTGGGAGGACAAGCGATGCTTTTGCACAACGATTTGATAAGCGCTTCATTCCGTCTCAGCAAAGTTGAGGTTGTGCTGGTGCACGGCATCGTGCTCAGAGGTTGAATGTGATATGTGCTCGTGGCGCTGACACAGAACAACTTCGGCAATGGGACCTTGAGCTATGGTTAAGACGGTTAAGACTTTACGACTTCCGTGAGCTTGCATCCAAGTTGCCTGCAGGTCTGGGTATCGGCATTGCACCTTATGTTCAGTTCATCCGTCCGGAGCTCGAGTTGCTTTTGTCGATGGCCCTTTGCATCGACTGATTCCTTCAATGAAAAATGGAGACCAGGCCTCAATTATCCTTTACATCAACTTGCTGTGTCACGCTTCGCACGGGCTGCAGCTGCAGCCTATAATTTATGAATAGTAACAGCCTGCATGAAGCCGTAGACCCGTAGGCAAAAGGCAGCCGCATGAGGGAAAGCCATTCCACGCAAAGGGCAAGCACCGAGGTCAGCTCTCTGCTTTGCGCGAGTGCTTTGCCCCGGTCTGAGCTTTCCGGGATCGTGCCAACATCATATCAGCGATTCCAGCACATGGGCAACTCTGGAGCGTGAAAGAATCCCAGCGCAAATTCCTGCGACATGCAAGATGCTTCCATCATGGAGCTCAGGTCATTGAGCTGCCAGAGATATCCCAGGCGGAACACACTGTTTAAAATGAAATGGCAAACCATGTCAGTCATGTTAGTCGTTATTGTTATTTCCTTGCCTCCTCCTCCTCCTCCTAGTAATGATGGACTGGGCTTTGGCACCCTCTCAACGCCGACCCCATCCACCCGCGCCCGTCCGCCTCCTCCCCTCAGAAATCACGGTGATGGCATAGAAATCATGCCTTTATATTGGCCCCCTCTCCCCTCAGAGACTTGTAATGGTCGAAGGGGAAGCCATGTCATTTTTTATTTTCGAAAACATGGTGAGTGCCGACCGCCCACCCCCGGACTTCCCTCCCTCCTGCGGGTAGGTCCCCGCTAAGAATAGCAATACTGGCTGATAATAATGATCGGTTGGGAAACCATTTCGTTATTACTATGTCCTTTCCTCCTCACCACAGAAAGGACAATCATGGAATGGGAAACCATTTCATTATCGGTATTATTGTTATTATTGCCACGAGTATCCTTTACTGGTCTTAACATAAAGATTGGAACTACTATTCTTTTGGATTATAACAAGGCTAAACATATCAATGAGCATACTAATACTAATACGAATTTCACAATAAAGGTGTAAAGCCAGTGGTAATACTAAGAACAATAGTAATCGAAATAACAACAATAAAAAAATACTAGCAGTGGTATCAGTTGAAGATTTACGGCCCTTCTG